TTCTGGGAGCTGGGAAGATTTGGTCTTGACTTTGGCCTACACGGGTTATGTCATTCTTTAAGATAAAAAGTGGTAAAAATATATATTTGTGGTGCCTTGGGGTAATACTCTTCTTACACTAAAATTCCCCCAAACCTACCAATGTAGACATAGGTGCTCCCATGGCTTCTCCAAATGGACTGCAGCACATTGTAGCAGATCTGAGTTAGAGAACAGATGTAAAACGGAAATGATAGTTCCACAGTCAACTCCTCTCTCTCTCTCTCTCTCTCTCTCTCTCTCTCTAACGTCACAGAAGCTACTCTGTGAGAACTCGACAAGCATTGAGATCCACCGGTGAGGAAAGAAATGGAGTAGAAACTTCTCCTGAGCTCATACCGAGCTCTTCTTCAGGTCATGGTTTGAGGTGCTATCCAGACAAGTAAGGGATTGTGTCACCACCTGCGCTGCAATCCTGGATGCTTTGCTGCTGTAGCTACCAACCTTGGATGCTCACAATCAGCCTACAAGCATGCAGGTTACACTGAATGTCCATGTGTTAAGACAGCCCCGGTTCAGCTGCTTTGACCCCAGCTGCCTGTCTACAGTCCCACAGCCTCACTCTGGCTTCCACCACCCTGGGTTACTACTTGCAAGGTGACCCCAACACCCTCCCAGCCCTGAGTCTTCCCAAAACCATGTGCTCTATAATGTTGAGCCCTCTGCTGGACAGTTCAGAGAAATAATAAGGGTAGTTTGTTCCTCTAAAGACACAAATGCACAGTTTATTAGCTGGGATAAATACACCTTTCCATGTAAGATTAGCACTGAGTTAGTTTATATTAATAGTAAAACAAGAAGAATTCTCTGTAAACTCAAAAGCTTGTCCCTCTCACTAACAGAACTTGATTAATAGAACATACTACCTCACCTACTTCATATGTAGATGAAAATTTTTTAAAAATCATTTTTGTCAAAATTTCCCACAGAAATAAAGCCCTGTTTTCCAATCAGCTTTATTAAATGTCTCTAATGGTGCCACTCCCTGTTTTGGTCCTCAAGAAGTGCAGAGACCAGTATTCTATTGCTCATCTGTGAGACTGTAATCTAAAGAAGGTCTTTGCAGACACCCGTGAGCATCTGTGCTGGATCCCTCACCTTCTAGCTCTAAGTACGGAAGCAAAAAAATTAGATGCATCCGTCAAGAGTGTCTCTGTTTTCCAGTTTCATTTTGGCAAGCATTCTTTTGAAAAATCTACTGGTAGGTGTTGCAATTTGGGCATAATTGTTGCCATGGATCTGAAAGAATATAGTTAGAAAGGGCTATCAAGTATGCCAGCCATGACATTCAGTGCTCAGAGACTCAACATACCTGATGATTTAACGTACTATATAATTACAAAGTATTATAGCTAAACTACTCAGAGATAGAATTAATATTTTTCGCTTTTTGACCTGGATACCTTTGTGCAGAATTTCAGGCCTGAGGTGAACTCTCAGTGCTCTTACAGCTGGCAGGATGATAGGGATAGTGGCATCTCTGGTTTTTAACTCCTAAGTTAACTCTTCAAAGAGGTCAAGGATTTGAATGACAGTATGTGCCAGGTTCCACTGGCACTGAGTGAAAAAATAGTATTTAAGTCCTCAGAGCAGATTCCCATCAGAACCTGTTAGTTGTTCAGCAGGCTCTGTAACACATAGGAGGTTGAATTCCAACAGGTCACAGTATCTTGGATTATAGCTAGTTCAGAGTAAAAAAAGTTCTATTTGCGAGCTGTGCAATTTGGCAACAGCAGAAAAGTAGGTTTTGAAATAGTCAAGCAGCTTCTGGCTAGCCATAAGTAGGCTGTCAATGGAGGGTTGTTTTAACTAAGGATTATTAATAAGAAATCATAGGAGGTGGGCAACTGACCTTAAACTGTACACCATATACAGTCAATGAAAGCGTTCTCCATGTTGATGCTATTACCTCAGAGCACAGAAGTGATACTATATTTTGTAATCTGCCTTCTATTTATCAGGTGCAACAACCTTCAACACGATGCTCCTGTAGGACTGAACCCAGGACCTCTCTCACAAAACTACCATTAGAACAAAGCACATAACTTTTGTAGGCTCTTATGCTATACATGAACCAGCCTCTAGAGGGGGATATGACACACTCTGGTAATGTGTTACATGTGCTCAGAAAGGCATATGATATCATTGCTCCCATAGGCATAACGGTTAAAATCGTCACAATGAAAAATCTCTAATCTGCTTTTGAAACTCTTGTATACAGTGGGCTGTACGCCTGAGAAAAGACTGGGCCCTTCTCTCTCACTTGATAGTTCCATTAGAATGCCTACACTTAGGAGCTCACTCTTTAGCCACACCCTTTTCACTTATCTACTCTGCCAACCAGTCCGCAAGAGTTCCCCTGGGAAAAGTACTCTAGATGCTCCATATCCAATACCAGTGCACAGGTGTGGTGAAGGCATGGACTCTGTGCTGGACATCTGGGAATGGATGCGAGTTACAGGGACAGCCCTGAAGATACCCATTACAGGACTATTTTTGGCTTCAGTGGTCACAAAGCCTGACCAGCCTGTGCACTTTTATTGTGCTCTGTACTGTGAAGACACCATCAAACTTCATTTGACCATGCATGCCCAGAAAATACCATACCCTTCACCTTTATGACCAAACATTTCCAGAAGATCAATTTATTTATTTTTTAGAAAAGACATTTCAGGTTGGCAAACTGATGTCCAAATGGGAGTCACTCATTGGTAGACACATACAATAGTTAATTTATCAATTGCTTGTAGATATTAAAACATTTGACATCATAATTGCAGTAAAATAACATCAAAATTCTGTCTCTTCCTGCTGCGGTAATGCAGCATCTGAGAGCAAGAAGGCCATGGGAATTTCTATATTTGAATATAAGATCCAATGCACAAAGAAAAGTAAATATATATTTTATAATCAAAAGGGATGTAGGGGGAAGGGATAGTGGCCCTGTCTCGTGTAACATCTTCCTGAAATTAGACTTCAGCATACATTTGCTGGTAAAATAATAATTAACATATCATGCAAAGTACCCAGACTCTGCTAAGAAACTGAATTCTGTTTTTTTTTTTTTTAATATACCTATATACTATGCATGAGGCTTGAATTTGAACAGGCACTGAGAATATAGAACAGTAGGTCATGTCTAATGTCTAAAAGATACAGATACACACATTTATTTATTGACCTCCAGATAATTTGAGCAAATACTAGATACAAAGAAACATGAGTCATCTGAAAATTATGTGTCTCAAACACAACTCAGAAAGCATTGCTTGAAATTTACATAATCATTTTACAAAGCCAAATATTAGACAGACAGACAGATTAGATTAGATAATACTTACTTTGGAAAGGAAGTAGCTTTCACCTGAATTAAAATGATCAGAGCAGATTTAATTACATGTACGTGTTATAATTAAAGTCTTTTCTAGAGCTTTTTGTTGCTCATTAATGTAATATACAAAATTTATTTTAACTATGCAAATTAAGTGTGGTCGAATACAATCAATTTAAAATGGGACAAAAGAATCAGTGTTGTTTTCTTTTTACTCACTATCAAAGGTGTTTTCTTATTTGTTTGTTTTTGTTTGGGTTTTTTGGGGGGGGGGGATGGAAGCATAATAGAGATTATTCAAAGCATATCAATTTTCAAAACCCTGCACAAAAGTGCCCAGTTAGATTTTACAAGGTTTAGGCACAGCATAGACAGAAGGAAAATATAAAAATAGGTATTTTTGAAAAAAAATAATTCTGACAAAACATATGAAAGTACCAATTATATTAGAAACTCTGGTCAGTGGTTTTCAAAAGGTATGAAAAATAGCCTTGTCTACGGAGTTTAATATGGCCAGAAATTGGCCAGAATAAAGACAACTGAATGAATGGCCAAATTGTGGCATCCAAAACTCTAAGTAGCTAAAAAAGATATGTGGAATATATATAAGGTTGGTTTTATGTTAGCTATATAATTTAAACAGAAATGCTGCTAGTGTCATCCCCATATTTTTCCAGTATTGTTCTAGGTGACAAATGGAAGCTGCTATATGACTGGAAAAAACAATAAGAACTTGACACAGTAGGCAGAATCCAGATTCTAGGCACGAGGAGCTACAAATTAGTCTGATTAAATGTAATTTGTGGAATTTTGTTTTTGTTTTTATTTGAATGAGCTTGCAGTATGTCAGTATCTGAGAATATATAATAGTAATGTTCTCTTTTGAGTACCCTCTTTGTATTCATAAGTGCAAACATTGGGAATATTGTAAAATAAAACGATGGTCTATGATTAAGGCTACGTTTTAGTCACGGGTATTTTTAGTAAAAGTCATGGACAGGTCATGGACAGGAAACAAAAGTTCATGGCCCGTGACCTGTCCATGACTTGTACTATATACCTTTAACTAAAACTTGTACTGGGGGAGGGTGCGAGTGCTTGGGGAGGGGGAGTGGTCTGGGGGTGCCGTGGATGCTGGCTGGGATGGCCTGGGACCCCCGCTGGTGCTGAGGGGGAGGCGGGTGGCAGCGCGCAGCCTGGGACTCCTGCTGGTGTTGGGAGAGGGGGGCTGGGCAGCAGCACGTGGCCCTGGACCCTCTCTAGTGCTGGGGGGATCGGGGAGTGGCACGCAGCCCGGGTCCCCTGCTGGTCCTAAGGGGGGGAAGGTTGGCAGGGCTGGCAAGCTCCTTACCCAGCTCCGCGCATCCCTGCACCCCTAAGGGGGAGGGAAGGCCGGGGGGCTCCATGCACTTTCCCTGCCATGAGCTCTGGCTCCGCAGCTCCCATTGGCCAGGAACTGCAGCCAATGGGAGCTGTGGGGGCAGTGCCTTTGGGCAGGGGGCAGCCCGCAGAGCTCCCTGGCCCCTCCACCTAGGAGCTGCAGGGATATGCCAGTGGCTTCCACCCCACACCCCAACCCCCTGCCCCAGCCCTGAGTCCCCTCCTGCCCCAACTGCAACTCCTGCCCCACCCAAACTGCCCCAACAGTGGCCGGTGCGCCTGTCCCAGGAGCTGCTTAATCTGCTCAGGCAGCCCCTGAGCCAGCCATACCAGCTGCTGCAGAAGTCACAGAGGTCACGGAAAGTCATGGAATCCGTGACTTCAGTGACCTCCATGACAGAAACGCAGCCTTATCTATGATTCCTCTACATCAGGGTGGCCAAACCATGGCTTGCAAGCCACATGCGGCTCTTTTATAATTAAAGTGTGGCTCACAGAGCCCTCCATTCTCCACCTACCAGACTGGGGTGGGTGGGAGCTCAGGGCTTCTGTCCTGCGGCAGGGTGGTGGGGTAGGGGCTTCTAACTTGAGGGGATGGGGGACTCAGGGCTTCAGACCCATGGGAGCCACCTGCCGGGAACAGGGTGAAGTCCCGAGCCTCAACAGGCGTGCCCAGCTCTCGAAATTCTGAACAATGTTGTATGAAACTTCGAGGGTCAGTAAGTTTGACCGCCCCTACTCTATGTGAATTTAAATAATCAAAGCCAAACATTGTTTAATTTTTCCTCTCTCCTGCCTTCTCTTCCTCATCAATATCAGATTTCCTGTGCTCCAATTGTTTTCCTCTCTCAACTTTCTCTCCTATCTCATGGTCTGCTTTCCATGTTTCTCCCTTCTCCACCCCACCATACCTTAGCAATACTAGAAGTCAACAGCATAGTGATGGTTCAAGTAATAAATACAATCATACAAAGATATATACTTCTACAATTTATTTTATCTTAAATTTGTTAACTCTTCTTCTCCTTTTAATCTTCTTACCATATTTTATGTTACTTATTATATTAAATCACTTAGTCCCTACTAACTAAAAGATTTTCCTCAGGCACTTAGTAATGCAAAGCTGCAGCCTGTCTCCACAGTGCCATGTACTAGAGAAGGTGAGCCAGGGAAGGTGTGGTCTTCATGCAATTACTTTACTGTTAAAGTTTTGATTGTTCCTTTATCTTAGTGTTTATTTATCTAATCACTTTATAGTCTTGCTGTTGCCCATCGATTGCTAATTAATACCAAGACAACAGCAAGTTAAAAATCCAAGCTTGTAGGCATATTTTTAAAAGGTTAAAATGTGTTTTCTTCGGCTTAAAAAAATCATAACAAAGATTTAGTGGACTTCTTGCCACATTTTGACTAGAATCTGGCAAAACAGTCAAGATTTTTTTCATACTGGAAGTTATAATTAGATGCTAATTACATTCCACTAATTACATCTGAGTAGGCACCCAAGGATGATTCATATTTATTAATTCTGCAGGCATCCTCTCTATGACACATTTTTCCAGATTCTTTGTATACCACGGTCATTGTCACTAATATGCATAGCTGTCTTGAACATGAGCTGTTATAATTAATCATTGGACTAACATTTTTAGCAAGCTGGCTAAAATAGTCACAAATTGTTTCATTGTTCTTTTTTCTTCTTTTTTGTGGTTTCTATTTCTAATAATAGCACAATAAACAATACGAACAAAACCTGTACATTTTTACGTTGGCTTGTAGATCTTACAGTTGTACAGAATATAAAATGAATCTCGAACCATGCTGGCAAGTTAAAGACAAAACTTTGAACTAGATGATACAGTTCTGAAGGGTTCCGGCTCTATTGAAAGTTTTTATTTTCAAGTTTAAGCATTTGTGCGCCTCACATTTATTAATTTATTTGCTAAGTACAGAGAAATCCAAAAGAACTAATCAATGCTGTGATCCTTACTAAATCCATACTGAGATAACTCCCACTCTAGCTTTTCTTTGAGTAAGGACTCATTATATATTTATGACTCAACCACTGAGGAAGGAAGAGGTGAGTACCAGTAGGTATTTTCCCTTAGAAAGAATCCCTTCCAGAGCTCCCAAACAAGCAAAGACAGTAACCTCACAGCATACAGCCCTTTTGTGGGATGCAATGTAGTAATTTAACATGGTTGCTTAGTTTTGTTGGACATGGCATAATGGTGATAGGTGGAGTTATGACTTTGCCTGCTCTTCACCTCTTTCTTCCACCACCTTTAGGAAGCCATGATCTATTGGATAAGGAGGGAGGAAGCAGCCACTGCAGTTCTACCTGGCCTTTCTGATGGATTTTTTAAAGTACTGTTTTGAACTGCATCTTGAAATGAGTGGGGAGCCAATACAACTGTTGAGAACTGGGATGATGAGGCCATGCTTGTGTATTCCTCTGAGAAGGTTGGCATCCACATTCTGTACATACTGGAGTCTGGAGGGCTGGGACTTGTTTGAGGTAGTAGAATATCATGCTGTCCTCTCTGGCACTAAATTCTGAAAGATAATTTGTGAAACTTGTATTCTTTATCAGTCTCTCTCTTTCCTCTTGTCTTTCTCTCTTGGCTTTAACTTCAAGCTTGAATTGAAATGGATAGTACATCTTCCACAAAACGGCCCCACCCTGATTCTCGTTCTGTACACTTAAAAAAAAAAAGAGTAGTAGTGTAGATTCTTCCTGAGCAGGTCAAGTTCAGCTCTGTTAAGGAAGCAGGAATCAGTTTGCAAGAAGCACAGTGAGGGATTTGATTTTTTGAGAGGTGGGATGAAATCATAAATATTTGTGTACGTGTGGGAGGGAGTGAATCTGCACCTAGAAAGGGAAAAAGGGGAAGATAGTATTTACTTTTGCTGTACAATGTATATTGTTAATTGTGCTGACTCATAATGGAAACTAGGATGAAAATCTTCAACATAAAGAGGAATGGGGTTGAGGTGATAATTTTTATTTTCAGAAAGGCAACTGATTTTAGATTGAGAAAGGTATATGGAAGATAGTGTTGTGTCTGTTAAAAAATCAGAAGGAGTGCTAAACATCTACAGCTGGGAAGGAAGGGTTAAAGAGACAGAACTTTCAGTTTTAAACATTTGTGTTTATTCGGGTGCAGTTCAGTGATTTTGGACAAGATTCTACAATTATTGGTGTAAGAGAGAAGCTAAAATGAGAACCTTCCGTTACATTACAGTTGTAAATGCTTTCTGATAAATGTTTAACTGTTTTCATTTTAAAAGGCAGACTCATCAGAACTAAATATCAGCATATGGACTAAGAAATTTGTTGCAATGGGGCTGAATATTCTTTTTTAGTGCTTTAGCTAGACCTAATATGCTGCATAGTTTATTCAGCAAACAGAACCGATTTTTGTGTTGCAAACTTTGTTTTTTTAACTTTACACTTAAGGAATCTCCCAAACAGAATTTGGATCTTGCTGGAAAAGAAAAATGCAAAAGATGTAACATTAAAACAATTCTCTCTTTTCTGTGAACCTGATCCTTTGAAAAAATGAGTGCTCACAACTCCCATCCAATGAAGTCAGTGGAAGTTAAGAGCCTCGACACCCTCCAAAATCAGGTACTTGTTAGGGGGCTTATTCCTAACAGTACTATATCAGCACATTATAAGCCAGCTGAAATATTTCAATGATAAGTACATTGTGTTACTGATTTGGGGTTAATTTAGTTATTTAATCACCAACAAGAAAAAAAGTGTAAACACAGTACTAATACTACTGTAGCTTTATTCTCCATTTCAGTCTTTGTAACTGGCTCTTGTCTTTGTGAGTTAGAGCCTGTAAACGTTAACAGGAAGTGTGGCACTGCATAGTTTCCTTGAGTATAAGTGACAACTTCAAACTTCCTGTTGAAGTTCAGGAGGGCCTCACCCAAAGCTCATGGAAATTGAAAGAAAAACCCACCATTGACTTCAATGGGCTTTGGAGCTTTGGATCATGTTAATAGTGCATGACAACGGAATTTCATAAATGGTCATTTGGGTGAAGTGTAGTGGTAAAGTAATATGAAGTACTGAGTGCCCGAAACTCCAGCCTGAGTCATTGACACCTTGACAATCAGACGCATAGAATATATACTTCCCAGTTCTGTATATTAAAATTTAACACACATATTTTGATTAGATTTTTGTTAAGATAAAAACATGTATGTTAGGTTTTTTCCCCCCCTTGACATAGATTGGTTGTAGAGGACAACCTTGGTTCGGGTGATCATGGGTTCATTCAGTTTAAACTAAATGGAAGGATAAACAAAAATAGATCTGCAACTAGGGTCCTTGATTTCAAAAGAGCTAACTTTAATAAATTAAGGGAATTAGTTAGGGAAGTGGACTGACCAAATAACTCTGAATGTGGAGGAGGCTTGGAATTTTTTTAAGTCACAGTTGCAGAAACTATGTGAAGCCTGCATCCCAACTCAGGGGAAAGAATTCATAGGAAAGGTTTGCAGACCAAGCATCTCAAACAGGTGATTAAGAGAAATCAGAAAGCCTACAAAAAATGAAAGATAGGGGAGATCAGCAAGGGAACAGCTACATCTTGAAGGTCAGAATATCTAGAAATAAAGTAAGAATTCCCAAAAGTGAAGCAGAGTTGGACTTTGTAAAGGGAATTAAAACCAGGAGTAAAAGGTTCTATAGCCTTATAAATAAGAAGAATAAAAGGAAAGAAGTGGGACCACTAACCACTGAGGATGGGGTGAAGATTAAAGATTATCTAGGCATGGCCCAACCCCCCTAACAAATACTTTGCCTCAGTTTTTAATGAGGCTAATGAAGATCTTAGGGGTAGTGACAGCGTGGCTCATGGCAATGAGGATTTGGAGGTAGAAATTGTGACATCCAAGGTGGAAGTCAAACTCAAACAGCTTAATGGAACTAAATTGGGAGGCCTGCATAATCTCCATCCAAGGATATTAAAGGAACTGGCACATGAATTGCAAGCCCAACAGCAAGGATTTTTAATGAATCTGTAAACTCGGGGTGGGGGAAGGGGGTCATACCCTATAACTGGAGAACTGCTAATATAGTTCCTAATTTTAAGAAAGGTGAAAAAAAGTTTTCCAAGAAAGTATAGGCCTGTGAGTTTGACTTCAATTGTATGCAAGATTTTGGAACAAATTTTGAAAGAGAAAGTAGTTAAGGACACAGAGGTGAACAGTAATTGGAATAAAATACAACATAGTTTTACAAAATGTAGCTCATGCCAGACCAACCTGATCGCCTTCTTTGAGACAATTACTGTTTTTTTAGACAAAGAAAATGCAATAGATAGAAGCTACCTGGATTTCAGTAAGCATTTGAATAGTTCCACATGGGAAATTATGAGTTAAATTGGAGAAGCTGAGGATTAATATGAGAATTGAAAGGTGGGTAAGGAACCAGTTAAAGGGACAACCACAGTGGATCATACTGAGAGGTGAACTGTCAGGCTGGAGGGAAGTTACTAGTGAGTACCTCAGAGATCGGTCTTGGGCCCAATCTTATTTAACATTTTTATTACTGACCTTCGTACAAAAAGAGAGAGTGTGCTAATAAAATTTGCAGATGACACAACATTGAGAGGTACTGCCAATATGGAAGAGGACCAGAATATCATAGAAGAAGATCTGGATGACTTTGTAAACTGCAGTAATAGAAATGGGATGAAATGTAGAAGTGCAAAGTCATACATTTAGGGACTAACAACAAGAATTTTTGCTATAGGCTGGGGACTTATCAATTTCAAGTGACAAAGGAGGAGAAAAACGTTGGTGGATTGGTTGATCACAGGATAACTATGAGCCGTAAATGTGATGCAGCCATGAAAAAAGTTAATGCAGTCCTAGGATGCATCAGGAGAGGCATTTCCAGTAGAGAAAGGGAAGTGTTAGCACCACTATACAAGGCACAGGGGAGACCTCATCTGGAATATTGTGTGCAATTCTGGTCTCTCATGGTTTAAGAAAGATGAATTCAAACGGGAGAGGTGCAGAGAAGGGCTACTAGGATGATCCAAGGAATGGAAAACCTACCTTATGAAAGGAGACTCAAAGAGCTTGGTTTGTTTAGCTTAACCAAAAGATGGCTGAGGGGAAATATGATTGCTGTCTATAAACAAATCAGAGGGATACATTCAAGGGAGAGAGAGGAGTTATTTGAATTAAGCATCAATGTGGACACAAGAATAAATGGCTATAAATTGTCCATCAACAAGTTTAGAATTAAATTTGAAATTAGATGAAGGTTTCTAACCATTAGAGGAGTGAAGTGGACCATTGACGGGAGGCGGGAGGGATAGCTCAGTGGTTTGAGCATTGGCCTGCTAAACCCAGGGTTGTGAGTTCAGTCCTTGAGGGGGCCATTTAGGGGGTTCTGGGGCAAAATTGGGGATTGGTCCTGCTTTGAGCAGTGGGCTGGACTAGATGACCTCCTGAGGTCCCTTCCAACTCTGATATTCTATGAATGGGATTGTTGTCAGCCTCTAGTGTACCTAGGTGCAGGTGAAGATTTTTGGGGGGGAGGGACAGCTCAGTGGTTTGAGCATTGGTCTGCTAAACCCAGGGTTGTGAGTTCAATCCTTGAGGGAGCCATTTAGTGATCTGGGGCAAAAATTGGGGATTGGTCCGGCTTTGAGCAGGGGGTTGGACTAGATGACCTCCTGAGGTCCCTTCCATTCCTGATATTCTATGATTCTAAGTTCTGGAACAGCCTTCCAAGGGGTGCAGTGGGGGTAAAAAAATCTAACAGGGTTCAAGACTGAGCTTGATAAGTTTATGGAGGGGATGGTATGATGAGACTGCCTACACTGGCATGTGGTCCATTGGTGACTGCCAGTAGCAAAAATACCCAACTACTGGAGACGGGACACTAGATGGGGAGTAGCTCTGAGTTAGTACAGGTAATTCTTTCCCAGGTATCTGCCTGGTGGGTCTTGCTCACATGATCAAGGTCTAACTGATCGCCATATTTGGGGTCAGGCAGGAATTTTCCCCCAGGTTGGATTGGCTGAGACCCTGGGGGGTTTTCACCTTCTTCTGCAGCATGGGGCCTGGGTCACTTGAAGGTTTAAACTAGTATAAATGATGAATTTCTGTAACTTGAAGTATTTAAATCATGATTTGAGGACTTCAGTAGCTCAGCCAAAGGTTAGGGGTCTATTACAAGAGTGGGTGAGGTTCTGTGTCCTGCAATGTGCAGGAGGTCAGACTAGATTATCATGATGGTCCCTTCTGACCTTAAAGTCTATGAGTCTATGAAGGCTTACTCGTCAAGGTAACAGGTTAGAATTCCCCCTTAAGACTGGTAGTGACTGAAAGTTGTAACACGTTGCTGGCTGTATTTAGTTCAAATCAAGATATGTAGCCTGTGGGATGAAGACCAAAGAATATAAATTCAATCAATTAGCATTTATTACAGACAGCCAGTGACTGCATAAATTTCCACTATGCATTAGACAAGTTAATATTTTTTCATCTTTCTTAATTGCTTCACCTTAATCCTGCTAAATCTAACTTTCTAAAATCTGATTATTATATTCTAAATATTTTATTCACTATTTAAACTGAGATTAGTAGCTCTATACATCTAATACATCCTAAAATAATTAATTATGCGTCAGATCCTATAAACTCTTATTCATGTGAGTGGTGTCATTGAAGTCAATGAGGCCACTTATATGAATCAGGATTGGCAAGACCCAGTCACAGGTGAAGCAAGTCATTAGTTTTCAAATGATACCTCGCGAAGCACATTTTGTATAAAGATTATTACAATGGTATGTAGGATGTGAATTCAGGGATACTTTCAGTCACAGCTAGGCAGGC